TCGATGGGCCATCACATTTAAGTGTGACTGCAGTATTAAATTATTGCAAATTAAAAATTCTCCGTCCGTATTTGAGACTTTTAAGCATAACTGGATTGAGATCTTTAGCTGTCGATCAAGTAGAGTCTTGCACATTATGGTATATACTCGGCTTGTTTTACACAATTCAAGTTATTATACTTATGTGTATTGGTTATTTACTTCAATATATGGCCTGTTTTCGACGAGATCGAGGGTTCTGTTACAAGATATTTAATACTAGTGAACCACTTCTTAAAAGTATGGAACAAGATATTACTCAACTTAATAGTGAAAAGTATGAGCAGATTTGTCACGGTTCTGTGATATTTAGTTATATCATTCCAAGTGTTCTACATTTATGTGCTTATTTGTTTGGCGTGTATACGTTTCGATCATCAGAAAATGACCAGTTGCCGAGCTTAATGGAAAGGGTACGTACCTAATTTTTACATTTGATTGTGTTGCTTGAACTTGACTTGTGCATTCTTGCTCATAATTCATTTTGTAATTGTACAAAAACATTAATTTAACATTTCTCGTAGGTCTTTTTGGCATCGTCTCATCTTTCGGATGGATTTTTAAGCCAAAAAAAATTAGTAAAACTACTGTGGATCTTTGTAGGTCTGGGAGTCATCTGGATGTTACTCTCCTTTATGTCGGTTAACTTTATGATGTTTGATGGTACAATTCTTTTTCGATGGTTTGAAAATCGGTAATACCTAAATCTTCCACATATAAAAATAAAAGTTAAAAATTTTCTTCATGTGGGGCCAACATTTTTAAGATATCAAAAGTCATTTGATAAGCCCAATTTTGCGAAAAACCAAAGATTACAAATTACTTACAGCTATAATTAATTGTTTATCCTACAGTTCGTTGATCTGTTGATTATGATGCAAACACATTTACCTCTCTTTTATTTCATTATTAGTACTTATACACTAATTTAATATATTTTGTGATAGGTCGAAAGCGGTAATAGTGACGATGAAAGTAATGCTAATAGTAGGCACGCTATGGCACGATATAATACAAGCTACCGTAATTTCGAGTTATTGCTTGCAAGCGCAATTGCTGACATCGTATTTACATTTTTTAAGATCTAAACTTTTACAACATCCCATTCAATCAATTGAATGGATGAGGGTAAGAAAACATTTATTCATTCACCGAGCAGTGTATCGATTAATTTACAGGAAATATCCGAATTTAAAAAGTTACTGAAATATTTAAACGAAAATTTATCAACGTCTGCTTGCGTTTTTATCTTTATAAATATTTGTTGGGCCCTATCTGGAACTCTATGGCTGTTGGGTTACGATCATATTGATTTCCAGACGCTTCCTATTAGTGTGATAAGCATTTTAAACGTTTGTTTGTGGTGGACGTTAATTTTAGCACCATTTATACAGGTAGTTTACTTATTTACTTTTCCTTTCTCATTCAAATTTTTAGGCGGCAAGATTGACGAGTGCTTGCAAGTTAATCAAAACAGTCGGTCATGAAGTAAGAGCACGTCCGTTTGTGCATCAGGGAACACCCGGAAGCGAGTTGGACACAATTCTGCTTTATGCTTCGAGTTTGGATATGAGTGCAACTTTGTTTAAAATCCCAATAACAGGAAGAGCATTGGCTTTCGGTGTGACTGTTTTAGCCGTTTCTGTTCTTGTTATTGGTCAGTGTCATTATTTAACAGCTTAAGTGTATTTTATCTGTGATTAGAAATGGAATTATTTTTCATTTAAATTTAATTAAAGTTATTTAATTGTTAAATAACTAAATATGACAATTCCTTGTCCTTGTAACCATGAAAACTTTATCTCTTAACATTTCTTTTATTTAACTAAATTTATGACGTATTAGACACCCATAAATATTTTCATGCTTTATTGTTCAGCAATTACTTAGTTAGAAGTATAGGTACATACCTAGATACTACCTGTACGATATTCCAGTGACTAGGTAGATACCTACGTTTAATCAGAAAATTAACACATTTTTGGAATACGTGAGCACTACTTTTAAACTAAGAGCCCGTGACCAATTTTTGGTTGTAATTTCAACTTTCAAGTCATGAAATTGCACACAGTAAATCTCCTATACTTACTAAATATCAAAAGTCACTTCTGGCAGCCCTCTGTGGGCGGAGTAAACTACCCTAAAATGTGCGATATATTTTCTATACAGGGGATTGTTATGATTTAAACACGAGTCCCTGTACAAGCGACCTTTGCCATTACTGGCTGTATCTTCCTTCTCTCCAGGAACCTTTGCGTTTTGCAGGATTGTATGCCTCGTTTAGATTACTGCAATGGATTAAGACATAGGTATTAATTGAAATTGGACAAAACGTCAAATTCCAACCAATCTTAGCCTTAATCCAAGGTAGGTTTGAACTGCATTTGTACAACCGGCCCTTAGAAGTGCTATTAAAAACAATTCGAGCCAGTCAGCCACTATTTGTTGTTGGGATGTTTCATTTTTTTAAAATTATTTATTAACACCTGATAATACTATGATAACAACATTGAAAAGTTATTGCGAGTGGTGCAGAAAATATACAGTTTGTGTCACAAACGACGGGCCAGTAGGAAGAAAGAAAGACAAAAACGGGACTGTAATGTGCATAGTCAATTGAAAGAATAACTATTGATATCACAAGGTCTCTTCCTAGACGGCTTCTGGAAACAAATACACCTTTGGTGGCAACAAAATCAAGTCTTCAATTGTTGCTAACGTTCTGGTAAAAGAAGTTTGTAGCAGTTTCGGAGTACCCCTGGAATTATATATTCCAAAGCGTGTGTGAACTATTGGGAATTCGCAAGATCAGATCCACCAAGGGCGGACTGGTAACTGCGGGCCAGGTGGAAATTGCATAGGTTACGGGCCATTAATGTATTAGTGTAGTAATGAAGGTGGCGGGGGGGGGGGGGGGTAGCTCTGAGGTGCACCACAAAAACATTTTAAAGTTACTCCTTTCTCGAAAATACTTTCATGCTACGACAAAAAATGATAAATTCATTGTAAAACACTTCAATTAAAACAGAATTTTTTAACCAACCTAATATCAACCCCAATTAGAGAAACGTGTTAATAACTTATTAATTAGTGCAAGAAACTAAATACAGCACATACTTATAAATTTCCAACGGGCCATTATGATCTACAGGCTAAGTGGCAATCGCCCCCCGTGCCAGTCCACCCCTGAGATCCACTGCTTTACACCAAGAGTCAGACGGAATGGTGTACCGTATGAATCGGTCAATGGGGAAGTACTAGTCAAAAGTTGTGTGCGATCGCCAGCATGATTGGGACCAACACCTGCATTTTGTTCCTGATGGCCGCTCTGCTGTGCAAGAAACCACAGAACAAAGCCCCGTGTTGTTTTGCCGCGAACTCCAATTACTTCTGATTTGAAATTTGATACAAGACCCGGCCCAAAAGAATCTGTGAGAAACAAGTACGTGGAAAGCCTGCATCAGATATTTGGTGATGAAATGAAAATGCGGTGTGACGTGAAGGTCAATGTTGGTGGTCATATCGCCTCCAGGGGCTACCTACGAAATTGCAAAGAACCTGTGTGGGACATTGTAATAATAACCCAGAACAACCCAGTTTCTGGGTGTTAAAATAGACCGAAAATCAATTTTTTCGGAAATCCCTCCTTTCTCGGAGCAAATTCAGAGCTCAAAATACGTCAATCCAGTATTTTAACTTGTTGCTAAGTAACGAACTTTCCTGGACTGGAACGAATCCGGGAAAATTTTTGCCGACCTACGCCATCAAATGTCAAACAGTGTGAAACGATTTCATAGGCAATAAGATGGCAACCAAAAATTGTTATGCATTTATCGAAATTCTTAGTTTATGATTTCAGAAAAAAATAGTATATGTACCTCATTGTAAAAGCACCATCCCGAGAATGTATTGCTTTTACTACTAGATACATAATCGACTATTTATGTAACTACTTTCATCTCTAGAAAAGGTGAAGAAAATATGATTTTCCGCTCTATAGTGAGGAAAGTAAAAAACAATTGCTGCGTTAATATTAAAAATGACATTTAAAATTGAAACATACCCATATCTAGATAGCCATTTGTCAAACTTCATTATAATTTTTCAATTTCGATTGTAGTTTCAGAAAAAATGATGTGTAAAACTTGAAACTCCACTTTCTTCTCTAGTTGTGTAAATAATCATTTCTTGAACAATAAATTTGCTCACCGCAATCATTTGTGCATCAATATTGCATCAAATTAATCGCAGTTTTTTTGTGGGTATCTTAGTTTCTGACCAATTTTAAATTGAAAAGTTACTCTTTATTTTCTTACATTTGCATTTTTCTAGAAAAGTAAACATTATAGCAAAAAAGTGCATTTTCTAAATGTACCATGCCTATAAGTAGTCGGAAAGCTGAGTCAGAAGTTAACTGACAATTAGTTTACATAGACATAAAGCCAAACATTTGGAATGCGCTACAGGACTAAATATTACAACAAATTCATTGTTACACAATTGGCATTTCCAAAGATCGGATGTTGTTTTGATAAGTTAAGACTAGTGCATTGGGCGGTATGTTGGAATAGGGTTGGTCTCCACAACCATTTCGTTAAGTCGGTTAATTTCAGTACATAGTAGTACATATTATTAGAAGTACGTATAATCTTTAAATAAATTACAAGCGGCGCTGTTATCTTATAATAACAAATTGGCACAGTAAAAGTATCTTGGATAATATACATACTAAGTAAACATCACATTTTATTTTTTGACATACGTTATAAATAAGTTACAATAAAATTAAAAATAATTTAAGTGAATATTTACATGGTGCAAATTCACGACTAACATCATTCTAAGTACCTGATCCATATGCGATTTAATGATGTTTGGGAGCTTTCAAAAGTTGTTTCAAGCTAAACGATGATACAGCCACGCCGACACCCGCTAAAAATATTGCAGTTGGAAAGATTAACTTGTCAGAATGTTGTCTCGCAGCTGGGACATTCTGTAAAGAACTGCCATAGACAACAATTCTAATTAATAATCAAAATGTCCGCAAAATCGTACCTGTGCGATGGTAAGACGTAAAGCAAGATATCCAGCATGAGACAGTTTCATTCTTCGTTAGAATTTAAACTAAAACAAAATAACAGTAAGTATTTAAAGGAGTTGAAAATATCTAAACAGTGATAAAGAGGTCGCAGTAGGTATAAAGTTCAAATAAGCATGCGAGTTTTATATAACCTTAAACCTATTAATATAATGCCATTAATTCACGTGTATTCTGAAAGTTACTGCGTCAACTTTATACGTACACCAACCGCATTTTCTTATTTTCATTAGTACTGTAATTGGAATTTGATTAAACTTTTACCTGTCACGTCAATTATTTACACCTTTTAAAAATTAAAAGGAAATGTGAACAATATGATATCAGCCACGAGCAAAGAAAGACCTTGCTCGTAGCGTAGGTGATCTTGTTCAAATCAGTTGTTTTCATGCAGATATCTTCTTTGCGTGAGTACATGCAATGGCGTGGCGCCAAATTTAAACACACACAAGTTTTATTTCAAAACGAACCACCACAGATTAAAATAAAAACGCAGACCCGATTTACCGACATCATTTTCATGAAAATAAAATTTCCTGTAGGTATAGAAATCCCTAAAAATCAAATTTTACAAACTTATTTAACTTGGTCCGTTCGTTTGTAATGAAACAAATTTTGAAACTGAATCGGTTGGTAAGTACTCAATTTCTAACGCAGGTTTGCTATACGTACTCCTTCGCCCCAGTTTCTTCTTAACCGGGTCTTGTACCAAATTTCAAATCCCATGCCCACCGGAGTTCCTGATGGTCAAACAACACGGAAGCTGGGTTCTGTACTACAGCGACTTCGCCATCAGGAATAAATGTACATATTGCATGGTCTCTATGCTATCACGCTGGCTATTTGTGAAGTACCTATGGGTTTCTGATCGTTCCTCGCAATGTATTGAGTTACGTACGAGGCGGCAAACCGTATAATTAAGTAGAATGTAGTAGGTTACGTAGGGGCGGTAAACCTTTATAGACCGAGAGCCCGCGTAGAAAATACCTCGTCATAGGGTACAAAAGGTTTGATGTAACTAGGCAGTAGAATGTCACCGTGTGATTCCAAAATCGCCCGTCTGCCGGCCCGCGGCGGTCAACTTAGCGTGGGGGCGAATTTTGAAAACTGTTCCAAATCACATAATACCTCGTCACTGGTACACGTATGATTTTTTGCAATCTGATCCGGAAATATGCACCCAATTCATAGTTGCAGCGGCAGACGATTTATCTGGGAAACTTTCCCGAGCAGACGCGTTTAAAAACATTCA